TGTAGCCTCCTCCTTTGTAGTTTAAGATATTCCTTTCATATGGAACTGAATAAATATCTCTGACCTAACGTGCATTTTTCGTCCGGCATATGGCCAAGTTGTTCGCAAGAAATGAGGGGGCTTCTCAAAAACCATTATGGGAGCCGCTGCCTCTGCTACCAAGTTCGTGTCATGCAGCAACATAACTGAAGAATGATTTTTTTGAGAAGCCCTCGCTGCTGGATCTAATGTTCTAATGAGGGCACCTGTTGGCTTAGGCCAGCAGTCGCAGCCGAAAGACTTTCATCCACATCCTCGGCGAGAGATGGAGGGACATGAAGATGGCATGTACCGAAAAAAGTCCCTCTCCAGCTCCAGGTACAATCATACCAATGAATAAATCTCGAAAGCTTTCTCCTGTGCCACCGGGAGCGAAGTGGCCATTTTCATACTACTGCACTTAGATCTAGTACTTGTCTTTGTTTCGCCGTGCTTGCAGGCATAGGACGAATCACGAAACACAATCTCAAAGCCACGAATTGATAGATGTCCCATGTGGGAACTGCTCGCTTGGTGGCTTGAAGTTTGTGGTTTTGAGGTATCTGTCTTGTGGGATGGGTCCGATGATGAAATCTTTCCTTGAGCTCTGGTCACGTGGATTCGTGCAGTTGCGAAGCCACCTTCAGGCAGCAAGTCTGTGCGTATCTGCAAGGCACATGCTTCGTCATTTCGCAACAGCCTTGCAGTCCCAATCGAACCCGGACGGCAAAGACGACGATAGCAACTGCGGTGCTTTGTCTACTGGAACTTGGATATGCAAACCCTATACGCTGACTCCTGGTTGTGCCTGCTTTATATGGCACCCATCAAGCCATCAACCCGCAAAAATGATGCAGACGCGAAGCTGGATGGAACATGGCATTGCCCCTCACGTCGAACGTTGCGAGGGTCTCATCCGGAACTGCCTTCACTGAAAAATGAAACCAGGGCGACGGAGACGTGGATAACTTCATGATCTGTCCCCGAGCTGATTACACAGAACGATGTGTTTCTGAATGAATCGCGATTTGAAGATCGGGAAGACCCTGTCCGGAAGTTCTGCCAGGCAGTGTTTGTGCCATGCCTCAGCTCACCCTCTAATTGTCCAGAGCAATATAAGGGTTTAGGGTTTATATGGACAATCACCGGGTACCCGACAACTATCCCCAGGAGCACGAGAAACCCTGTAAGGAGCTCAACACTCCTAGGACCGTCACTAAGACTGCGGCCACCATCAGCCTTGAGCTTCCGACCCAGGCAGTAGTAAAAGTGTAGCCCTAAACTCATCGTAGAAGTTGGTGCCGAACTGCATATGAGCCCCGGGCCTGCAGTTTGTATTCGACAGTTCTGAGCGTCGTAGACTTCTGGTCTTCTGAACGAGACAAAACTGAAGTTCATCTGGACAGAATCCTACGAAAACGGTCCTTCTTGTACTGCTGCTCTGCTTCTTCAACTCTGCACTTTCAACCCTTGCGCTCCCGATTAAAGTTGTCGGTAAACTTGACTGTACAGCCTGCGGTTTATTCGGTTTCATGGCTAACATCCCTCAGACGATTTTGTCTGACTGGCTGGTCACTGAGGTTAGTGGCTTACCAACTTAATGTGCTTGTATGCTTGGCAAAGTGAGATTAGCGTTAAAGCACCAATGATACTGCCATCCTACCATCTCTGCATGTCTTACAAACATTCATTGCTTTTGAGCTATCCGCGGCATGGCTCGGTTCATACCTAAACCTGCACCTCGAAGCCCTATCCTACACCCTACACCTCAGAGCCCCATCCCTAAATCCGAAGCCCACACCACGACACCCTGACATGCATGCTAAACTACAGAGGGCACCTCGCGGGTGCTTGACTGTCGCTCGAGGCCTCGGGCATCTGCTGTTTCAGGGAAGTGTAGGACCCTACAAATTCAGATCATGTTTGACTGTAATCCAGTAAGGGCTATACTGAGATAAATATATTGTACTCTTACCACTTGTGATTGGCTGGGAGTTCCGAAATTAAGGAGTTCCAAGGCTTCAAAGTCGGATCCGCATGATAAAGACCTCGCTAGGTCAGGTAGAGAAACCCCTGTTTAGACAGTGGGACGCTTGGGTTCCATCGCTAGTATGCTAGGCCACTTTGAAATGGCACAGGCGGCAATCACAACCGTGATGGTATTTTGCACACACGCAGAGGCTATACTGCATAACCGGACGAAAATGTTCGTCTAGATAGCTGAATGCACGGTTTAACCAGACGAAGATATATGAGATCTAAAAAGGAAGAGACATGATCAGTCATGGTACCATGGGAATCGCGCCAAGCCGACCCATCCGACCACACTGAGGGCCCTCGCCAGCAAGTCGCAAGGCGAGCCTCAGGGCGAGCCCAAGGTGACTTTCTCTTCTGCTGTCCTATTGTGTAAACTCGGAATCGTACGGAATTGTCGGTGACTAGTCGAGCTTCGACGTCCAAAGCCCCCAAGGTCCCAGGAGCTCCCGGAAGCGCGGAGCGGCAGATGGCTTCACTCTGTGAAAAGATGGGGGCCTGGCTCAGTCACTTCACCCCTCAAGCCATCGATGCGGCCTTCGACACGAGACGCAGCACGCTGCACCGATCTGGTGTGATTCGGACTCGAAAAGCAGATACCAAAGGCCACACCCCCAGCAAAGCTTACCGCTCTCCGTTTTCTCCAAGTGTTTGGGATGATGAAGCAAGTCCATCAGGCTCTCCTAATTCGGCCGTGCGGAGTGTTGGGGTCGAGGTCGGCGGCTGCTTTTCGGCGACATGCCCGCTCCCCGGAAACAATGTGAAAAAGCAAAAGCCTTCTGCCGAAGTGCCAAAGCCCAAAAACGAGGTTGAAGCCCGGCTAAGCAGCGTCACAGGTAGACAGCATACGTCTCCGAGGGTCCCACTCTCGCAACTCTGGACCTCAAGATTGCCGAAAAGTTGCTCAAAGCACTTAGGGATGAGTGGCGCTTGGTGGTCTCAGATTACATGGTGGAGACAGTCATGCAAGGCCATTGCAGGGAGGCAGACAGCAGCAAGAACCACTTCAGTACCACCGTGCACTAAAGTAGCCGACGACCTAAATACGACTCGGATGACTGCAACTCTGTGGTCGCACAACTCAGAAAGCAAAACAATTCGAGTTCTTGTGCCAGAAGATCGCAGTTTCTGGCCAGCTGCTCCGGCGACAGCCGCGCTGGCCATGCTCTGAATGGCGCCTTCACACGCACACGTGCGCAGAGACACGCTGCGGGAGCTTTCGAGGTCACTTCGCCAAAATTAGCCATCTATCTTCTACCGTATGAAGTCGGTGTTCAATCCACGGAGAACACCAGTGGACTCTTGGTTGTCACGGGTGCTACATCGGCAGACAGCACGAGCCTGAGCCAGTGTTCGAAGCCAGGCGTACGGCCTGCAATGCTTTGGACAGGACTTCAGTAAGCCTACAGCACCATTGACACATGGGCTGCCCGCAGTCGGAACTTGCAGACTGGTATATCAAGCGAGTCTCAAGGTCAGCCCGACATGCAAACCTCATTACTTCTTACGATACACGACGGGTTTCAGGTAGACGAGGACGTGGCTCCGGGAGGAGCTGCATCGCCGACGATCTCCGCAAGTTCAGCAACGGCATCCCACACCTTGTTCCAGTGTCTTTGAAGCATGCGCTTTACGGATAGTGTTGCCCGTCCCCCCCTGTCCGTCTCACTGGCATCTGAGGAACCTGAAGGCGAGATATGCATAACCACTACTATTGCCGGGGGCTGGCGCTCGGACCTGCCGAATGCTGGCTAGCAGGGACTATGTCGGCAGAACAACCCAACCATAACGATCTTTAAACGCGAACTGTGAACCGAGTGAGCTGTTCTGGCGAGGTTTCGCGAGGTAGGCTTGAGAGACCTGGTGTCATCACGATGTTCTGCTGTAAACATGATTAAGAACTAGGCAATGAACTGTGGCTTATCGATACACCTTCGACTGCATGGCCAATATCGACACTGCAAGCCATCCAATTCCAGCGAGGTTGAACTCGCTGCTCTCAGAATTTCGAGCATAACAAATGTGACAGGGGGCACGGCTCTCAATCAGATGACAACATGACAACCCAACAGACTGCTCGTAGCTTACGGGAGACCACTGGAGAGTTGTTGCCCTTCTGTCACATGTGCCGGGCATCTGGCTGCGGCGATCTGGCGGCAGGACAATCGAAAGAGTTCAAGCAACTGGCTGCATGCTGTAATGAATAACGCTGTCCAAGAAGGCGAAAGCTGCCCAACCACAGTTCAGCCATTCCAGTGCGATCCCACACAGCCCCAAATTACACCCTGAATCCAAACCCATAAATCCCAAGCCCTTACAAAATTCAGAAAGGAACCCTGGCAGGCAGCCTACATCGCAGCTCTGAATCCTGAATTCTCCTAGCTCCTTGCCTCGGCACGCAACTCGAGACCTGGTATGCTGGGGCCTGTTTGGGGATTTGGGATTTAGGGCCGGGGGTCTTTGAAAAGGCGGGTTTCAGGGATCCGAGAGGATTTAGGGATAAGGGCCAACAGTTCTTCGTCGTAGCAGGCTTCGGACTTAGGTGTTCAGAGGGTCAGGCGCGGGCAGAAAGGATCTGAGTTAAAAGCATCGACCCTTTCAGCGGAAAGCTTTGCCTTGGGGGAGCTCCGAAGGCCGCGATCATCTCAGTGGCACCGAGCTCCCAGCCGGGGTTGTCGACTTGATCTCGGGCGAAGATGGCTGACCTCGGAAGGGTCTGGGAATGAGAAAGACTCACAGGATTCTGGCATCCTACAGTGGAAGTGCAACTTCTGTCAGGATCCACAAGAAGCTGCTTCAGCATCACCCTGTCCTCGAAAGCCTGTCCTAGCTGCCAGGGTGGTCCGAAACCGAATCGAGCACCCGGTCTGCAAGCTCGTGGCGAAGTGCTGCAAACAGCGGCCTCAGCACACCCCGATGAAGGCGCGGTTCGTGGCAAGGCGACAAGCCCGTGAGACTCTCGGCTAGGCAGTGAGAATCCAAGGCTGCTGCATCTTGCTGCGCAGTGCTGGACCTGAGACTTTGCACAGATCTGCAGATCCAAGAGGGTTCGAATCAAAGTGTCGCCAGCATCGTCTGTGTACCACCCACTCAGGACAATTCTTACGACGGCTCCGATCCTGTATAGATTCAGATCCCTAGGTAGCCCTCACAGGCTCAGAGTGAGTTTCACCTTTGAGAGTACCTGGACCTTGCGTTCGAACATTGAAGAGGGTCGACACGTGGGCGAGATCTGAAGGTTCATTCTAAGCGTGGCCTGTGAACCCGGATTCCTGTCTGAGCGCTTCGGCCTGTGAACCCGAAGTTTAGGCTTCAGGATTCAGGGTTGCAGCATGAAGTGTGCAGTTTGGCCCTCGCGCAGTGAACAGAACTGTACAAGCGATCTCGCTGGCGGCTTTGGCCAACTTGCAACGTCGAAGGGTAGTCTTTAGAAAGTAATCTAAGAAGGGGTATTCACGAAATCCGAAACCAAGAGCTCTAGCTCTCCGTACTTGTGTCGGTCAGCTATGAGCAACCAACACCGGACACGAAAACACATCGCACCGGAGCAGGATACCGAAATACCGAAACTCGCAGCTGTTCAGGTGAACTCCCCACTGGTTCCATCGCCGCTGTCGCTGATGCTACAGATCTCGCCAGCCTGCAGCCACACTAAGCTACTGCTGCGATCCGCAGACATGACTTGATCAGGCTGACGCTGTGGATCATAATGCGGCGCGACACACCGACCAACTCAGACATATCAGATTCTAGCATAGGGTGCGACAACTAAACTAAAGAAGTTCGGCCCATGATCGCAACGCGAGCGCAGTGATACAGTCGGAATCCAGAGCCTTCGCCTGATCCCGCTCCCGAGTCGGGCCCGGCCAAGGCCAAAAGAAATGAACTGCGCCAGGTAGCGCACTTCAAGGGTTGCCCATCGAGGAGCACGAGGCCCTTGCTTGTCGACAGCCGTGCAGAGGCACGCTGCCAGGGGTTGTCCTGCCGGGAAAGGAGAACACTTCTACGTGGGCGAGTCCAAGAGACTTCCACCATTCCTGAGACGAGATTCCAGACTTTGCACCCAGATAACGTAAACTGAAGGAGATGCAGCATGAAACGGTTAATGCCGGGCTGCACTTGGCGATTTAACCGTTTGCCAAGTTCTTCGGGGGGCTGAAAAGCTTTTGTGTTCTGCTCAATCTCCAAGCTCCCCTTGAAGGCGAAGCTCTCCTTCTCGCACGCTTGAACAGCGCCCTTCTTGTGTAACAACTCCGCTAGGCATCGCAATGACAAATTTGAGATCTCCGATATCCAAAGCCCGCTGACCCTGGATACAAGTGGAGCACTGAAGCCCAAAGCCCAATCCCCCAATCCAAGCTCACTTGCGCAACCTCTCCGATCCCAAGCCCCCTGGCACCAAGCGCCACGGGCCACTGTCCGGTAGCGTCAGATCAATAGGCGCCCATGTTTTCTCATTGCCAAGCACCTGCAGGTTGTGCGTTGTCTGTGCATTCGGAGAGGTCTTGTCTTTAGGACCGAATCCAGTAGCTCTTGGGCCACTTGGGCAGGCAGTTTCTCGGCCACATCTGCTACATGTCCGCAGCGTGCTGCGCATTCGAAGCACTTGCACCACACTTCTGAGGATTTCAAAACTTATCAGCAGCTCCAGCCTCCAGGCCTTCCATGCAATTCACCTACCCCGGCAGAGCCCTCGAGAACGACACTATCGACCTCCCCGAGCTCTGCGTTCTGCGGCGGCTCCGCCAGGGCCCGGCGACCCTCTACGAAACGGGCGGCTAGAAGCCCAGCCTGCCCGTGGCTTCGTCTTCAAACAAGAGATCTGCATCCGAAGGTTCTAGACTTCAGACTCTTAGACGTCTCTGGGACGTCGGGATGCTTGCAGCCGAAAGTTCGTAGGAGTTCATTTCGAGCCAACTTGCTGCAGCCCGGAGGGCTGAAGACCTGACTGCTTCGGAGCACCATGTTAAACACAAGGTTGTTTTTGTCGCTCATCTGACAGAAACTTTTCTGAGAACTCAGTTTCCCTTGACACATCAACTCCGGTGCAAAAAAATCTCCTGCCTGCGAGGGAAGACCCCAGAGCCTAGCACACAGATGCGCAGCTTTCGGGTTTAGGGGTTAGGCGAGGTACCGGGTACCCCTATGCAAAAACAACACGCTGCTTATCAGTCTTTCGAACTGTTCGATCGAGAAGATGCAGAAGCGAGGCAATAACCGACTGTCGCCAGATGCTTGCAGATTCTATGCAACCTTTGCCACAAGTCTCGTAATTAATCTCACTGGGTTGTGCAAGCCAGGGAGCTCGCGGGACAAGAGATTGCAAATCACGAAAACGCGCTGCCCAGCAAAAACTGGCAGCCTCAACTAACACACCAACAAAGGGCTTGAAGAAGTTAATTTGCCGGCCCTTGAGGAATGCATGCCAGAAACTAGCTTAGCATAGGCTGGGGACCATCAGACGCGTTGTCAGGGGTCAGGATCTGCAATTTACGAGCAGAGCTTCACTGTGCACGCTGACGCATGCTTCTTGATGCGTGTTTCGTTTTGGTTCAATCGCGTACGACATTTGTCCAGTGAAAAGCGAATGAATGCCATACAGGTTTTGGACGGCTTGAGTTTCAAGGTTGTGGAGTATTGGGGCTTCGGGGTTGGGGGTCGCGGGGCTTGGAAGCTAGCGTTGACACTTGAAATCTGAAACGTGGTTTGTGGCTTAGTTGGGAGCTGTGTTTCCGAGGTGCAACTTCTGATGGGCGAAGCCACGGAACTGCATGATTGGCAGGGTTCCGGGGTTCGTTAGTACCAAGCCCCGGCCGGGCCCGGAGGTGCAACGTAAGTCCGCGACAGAAGGGATGACAATTGGACCCAACAAGAACCGGACCGGAGGCGAATCGATGAATGAGGTCGAGTGGCCCCTGCACAAGCTGGCGCTGGCCGTATCGGCCCAAGCTGACCTGTAACTTCGGAGGATGTGACCGGGCTTGAATTAGGAGTGCAGCTTCGCTGCAAGTAGACCGGAAGACAAAAGACACACAAGCCCCTGGCTACAACTGCGGCTCCAAAACTTTTTATCTTTCAGCCGAGACCTCGGACAAACATCCTGCCCTGCTCACCCTGACTGAAGGCCATGAGGCGCGACATCCGCTGAGGTGCCGGGAGCCCGGAATTGGCCTTGGCTTCCGCCACATGAGCTCTTGCAGGCTGCCTTGCTTCCTTGCTGCACTGCACATCCCAGGCACCAGGAGGCCTCGACGCGCCCAACGCGGATCTCCACGCCTGCACGACAGCTGCGAGAGCAGCTTGAGAGGGCGTGGTCACATTGACAAAGGTTTGATCAGCAGCCGCTGCACACACAACATCGCGAACCTGTAAGTCTGCAGAACCCCGCGTCGCAAAGACCGGAGCCAGTAAAATTCTCAGGCGAGGAAACACCCAACAGGCCTGACAATTCGTCCGAGGATTCGATGCATGTCTCCGGTTCCTGCCAGGGGCAAACGAAAAGACCAGACTTGCTGCATTACTTCCTGTGCTCAATAGTGAATCTACAATGTGTTTGCGCTGTGCTTGGCCGAACACGCTTCTACGAGACACGGTAGTACCTCTCATCTCTCAGGCTTGAAACTGTCCATCCAACTCCCGCACCACATCCAAACAAGTCTACAGCATTCGGCTTCAAGGCGCAGTGCCTGGTCTAAGTCAACCTGGATCGAAAGGAGCTCCTGCAAAGAAGCGCAGAAGATGCAAACGGGTCGAGGTCTTGCTGCGGGCAGCGGCGTATGCGTCACTGCATGCCGCGACGATCCCTGGATTGCGGCCAACATGTTATGCTTGATGAAACTCTTCAGAAGAACCCGAGAAGCACAACAGTCCGAGCGAGGTCTCCGAATTTCCTGAGATCAGGCCCCCCAGGCCTGTTCCGAAGGCTCCATGGCTTTCAGCAGCTGCAGCAAGCAGTGAGCATCCAAAGCTGCGTAACGCAGCTGCTGTTCTGACAGCGGCCTAATCAGGGAGGTCAAGCACGGTAAAAACCTGGCAACCCCACCTTCACTCCCCGACAAACCTAAACCTTGAAACAGATTGCATAGTTCAGAAGACAAGACTAGGCTGCGCTGTTCAGGGGGGGGGTTGGGACTGTGTATACTGCAAAAAACCAGCGCCTTTGAGCCCAGTTCGAGCATTGCTCTGTCTTGTCCAGCTGCTTCTGGAGAAGCTTGGCCACAAGCCTCAGTGCTGATGCTATCACTCTAAACATGATGCGGATTGACAACCTATCTTGTCTTTCCGCCTGCAACATGCAGGATCGTGTTTGCATTCAAACTGCGTCGTGGAGCCTTGACAGTGCTTCGCTCATGCAGGGTTTGGACAGTTTGGCCATAATCACGTCATCAGTAATCAATCACCACAAATGTGTGATCCAGGAAAGACAACCTACATCTTCACACCAAGATGTCCGATATCTGGCAGGTGCGCATACCAGAGGCCTCTTCCTCTTCCCAATGCTGAGCTTTGTGTCTGTGTGTGTGTGTGCGCGCACGTGTACCTTGCCAGCACCCGAGCGCAGCCGCAGAGCCATTCGATGACAAGAAACCGTGCTCTTAAACCCTTTAAAACCCCGAGCCTCGGCAATCAACGAACAGGTCTAGACTTTCAAAGCAGGCGACCCCTTAAGGCCCACCGGCTCCGTTGGATGCTGCCGTGCCCAAAGCAGGTCGAGGTCCACCTGCTCGGTGGGTTCTAAACGGGCCGGTGATGCTGTTGTTGGCGTTGCTTCCCTCCCCGCTGTGTTAACGACTGGTGCCCTTCCTCAGGATTTCGGCACAATTTCCGGGTTTCGGTGGGTTCTGGCATCGCGATGTCTGTGATGCAGCTAGGTCCCTGGCCGTTAAGACTTGAAGCTTCCCCGCTTCTGTCGAAATGCTCCATCTCTACCATCTTGACCCCAACTCTCAAAGCCCCAAGCCCAGGCCCACCAGCGACCGCAGGGTGCCGGCGTAGCAGCCCAGACGCGGCCAG